TTATTATTTATATGTAATTTAAAAGCAAGCTTTTCTTTATAAAAACTTCAATTGAATTTCAATAAAGTTAAAGGCATAATCTTATCATTAATATTTAAAAAAAAAAAAAACTTTTTATTTTTTAATTAATTAAAAAAAATTTTTATAATACTATAAATAAAATTATTTATCTATTATAGTAAAATTTTGAATTATTATATTATTTTTAAAAAATATACTTGTATATATGATAAAGTTTTCTTAAGTTAGTTAAAATTTTCTTAGATAGTACAAAATTGAAGAATTTGATTAATTAATTTATATAAGTTTGTAAGTTAATTTTATTATAAAATTTTATATCCTAATGTTTAAAATTTATAACTTAATGAATTTTTATTCAATTTTAATAATTTTACTATTATTTGAATTAGAAAAACCTACTTTATAACTTTTACCTAATAATTCAAATTAGTTTATTTAATATAGTTTTTTATAAATTTAAATATAAAAAAGAATTACCATTAAGTTTATATATAATTTTAAAATAGTACATTCTATCCTTAAAGAATATTGAATTAAAACTTAAACCAACTGTAAACATTGGCCTTAGCAAAAGCAAAAAAAAAACTTAAACCAAACTTTGTATAAATGTTGTATATAAGATTCTTATTATATAATAGTTATTAATAAACATACCAAAGTTAAAAAAAAATAAAAAAAACAAATATAATATATTCTAAACTTTTAAAAATTATAAAAAAGCTTTTCAGTTTATGCTATACAATAGTAAATCTAGATTCTATACCAAACTAATAAATTTTAATTTGATACAATATATATAATTATACTTCTCTATCTCTATTTAAATTTTATTATATTTAATATTATAAATCAAACAATTATTTTCTTGAAAATTAAAATCAGAACATTGAAAAATAATTGTTAGTAATAATCACTTAATATCTTAACAATCAAATGTTAAAAAAAAAAATCTTAATAAAATTTTTTAAATAAAAATCTTGTTATTTTATATAAATAATTATACAGTATATTAATAGATAAACGTTTCTAAAATATATATATATGATTTCAGGTTTTGAATTTTCAAGGCCGAATTTATTTAATTATAAGTTTAAAAATCGGTAGTTTTTTTTTTTAATAGTACTCAAATACAAATAAAAGGCCATCATCTTGTTTGTTGATTTGTACACTTTATATAAACCACATGCAGTGCTTAATAACTACATGCAAAACATTTTTATGCATCAACACGGCTGAAGTCTTAATAGATTTGATCTTCACCGAGAGTTCTGACTTTCGCCAAAGGTTTTGCCTTCACCGGAGAGTTTCACCAGTTTCGTCTTTCGCCATTTTCCCCAAAAAATAGTTTCGCCTAAAAAGCAATAGTCCAGTTTGGGATTTGGATTTTTCCATATGGGATTTAGGTTTGGGTGGAATTAAAGATTTGTAGTTTGGGCGGCATGTATAATAACGAGTGACTTGTACCAGTTTAAAATATCTATTTGTATAAATATTTTTTAAAATTTAAATTTATACGTATGTATGTCAAATATATACGTATATTTTTAATTAAACTACGTACCGGTACGTATTAAAATTTGATAATATACATGTGCATAGTGTTACGAGTCATTTGAATATATATTAGTCTGTATGAGGCTGACGTTGCTTCCTAAAAGATAATATTTTATAGTAACTTAAAAACATAAAAAAATATGGTTTAAGGGCTTCCAATATGTAATGGATTGGCACAATGACATAATAAACCTCTCATTAATTTTCAATTATAATTAATATTCGCGATTAAGTGAAAAGATGCATAAAATTCAATCCAAGTTATGACTGGAGCTAAACTGTGCATTGAGTTGCTCTTTCGAACGGTCGTAACAATAGGTGTAAAACAATTAGGTACGTTTTTTAGTAAGATTTTTTTTTTTGAAATCAAGTCCATGGGTGTAATTTCGAATCTCGAGCTAAATTAAGCATAATTCGGGCCATTATTCGAAATGACGCGCCTGTTGTTATGTTTCAAGGTAAAAGAACGCAAAAAATTAAAAAAAATCACTCATAACTTAAAATTTAGCTATGAAACTGCCTTCTGCGCACTAATAAAAACCTTTCTTGTAAAATTTTGGTATATGTACTGCACTGAACCCTAATTTAATGGCAGCTTAACAGCGTAAATTTTACTTTGAAATTTTTTTGGTGGTGATTTAACCAAGGTAGTTATTCAGCGAAAGTATGGAGTATTTCGCTGGGTAGGGGTCAGAACGATTTTGATACTCGAATGTTTTGAATTCTAAACCCCGTGTAATAATCTTTAAATTAAAATTATCTAGAACTCCTTGTAATATTATTGTTCAAAGTTTAAATCACTATTAGACTTTATTAGATTAGACTTTATTAGAGCACTTGAAACAATGTATAGTGAAATTTAAATGTTGTGATGTAAATCGGAAATATGTAGTTCAATTTTCAATTTGGTCAAAATCTCGGCATTGATATTATTTATGTTAAATAAGAAAGTTTTTGTTCCAAATAACTTATTGGAAAATATATATAACCCAAAAAATTTTGAATTTAGAAGATGCATACTTTTGAGAGTTTATACTACTTATTAGACGTGACAAATGGAAAAATATCGAAAAATACCATTTTATTTATAATTTAACTATTTACAAGATAAATAAATTGCCAGTGCTACTAGCATTAAATAAAAGATAAAAATAAAATAACATTAATAGCTTACCGTTATATTAATACAAGTGTTTGCTTTTGAATGAAAAAAAAATGTATATAGTACATAACCATTATTTTGAGTCAAGTAATAATGATAACTATGCTCTACGGCTTAAAACAAAACTAAAGGTTTTTCGTCTTTCCGTTTTCTTTTTTACAGGTTCCTGACTTAAAGTAGTTTTTGGTAAAGTAAGTGGAGTTGTTGGTTTTGCCGACCAGTCTTTAGCCAAAATTTCCTCAAAACCTTGAGCTTCCATGATACGATTGAGAATCTTTTCAATATAAAGGGACAATGACTTGTTGGAATCTTTGAGTAATTTTATTTCATCTTGTAGTCCTATAAAATTGATAAAATAAATATATTGAGAATATGGTTTAAAATTCGAAATAAAATTAAATAAAATACGAACTTTCAATAATTGAGTGGTCATTCCCTTCGATCCTTTCATTCCCTTCATTCATAGCACGATTTAATTCGGCCTTCAAATTTATGGAAATGGAATTTATGCTGGCGGATGTTTCATCTTGAGTGAATTTACCATATTGATTTGTGAACTTTGTCTTTTTTCCAGTAATACAGCTATATTTTGTATTTCTCTTTTAAGAGATTGTATATAGGTTAGTTAATTTAATATTTACACGTAATAGAAAATATGATCAAGAAAATATGAACACATTATTTTATTTACCTGCATGACATGATTTAGTACAAATTCACCTCTCATAGTCTTTTCATGTAACAATAGTTGATACCTTTCACTGTCTTCCATTAATGTCTGATTCATATGCTTAACTTGATCAAGCTCATTTTCTAAATGATGAATCTTGGCAAGATGGTTTTTGTTTGTAGTTATTGAATTAGTATGTAAACGTTCAACGTTTTCCATTTCACTCATCAGATCATTAACACGTCTTTCAAGTTCTTTAATTGTTCTTTTAGCAATCTTGGCTTCACGGACAGCAGTATGATACGAATTTGTAGGCGATGTAGGTGAGGAAGGAGGACTGTCTTCTATATACAATAATAGTAGGAAAGATGGTTAATTCCATGAAATTTGGGGAAATTTTCACAATTGTTATTAAATGACCAAAATAAATTTGTTATACCATCATTAGAACTTATGTTTCCATTTTTCTTTTGCGAAAAAGTATTAATAGCTTCTTGAAGAGTTTTAATTTGACCAATCAATTCTGATTCACGCATTTGCCATTCAGCTTGATCTTTTTCAAAAGCTTGGGACTGAAATATGCGCATTAATTCAACATCCAACATTATATATCATTATTTATTAATTTTATTTCATCAAATTATATTAATAACTGTATAAAATTCATACCTCTTCCTTCAATTTCTGTTCTATTTCTTGTGTGTTTCTCAAAACGTCCTCATTTTTTTTTTTTAGCCCTTCCACTTCCTGACCTTGTTGATAAAATTCAGATTCAATTCGTGCGTATTCATTGTGATGAGTTGTAATTTCTTGTTGAAGAGAATTATTCTTTTTGCGCAGAAAGTTGTTATCGTCCGTTAATGTAGAGTTTTCTTTGTTGACGCGTTCAAGTTGTTCACGAACCTATTTTAAGGAATACATATGTATTAAGAGTCAATTTCATATTAAGAATTTTCGATATTATCATTTATCACAAAGTACGAATTTCAATAGGATGATTTAGAAACGGAGTATATCAAGAAGTCTGTCAATAATTTTTTATAAATACTCCGGTTATTTTTATACTCTGGTTACTTTTTTTAAAAAATAAAAAACCGGATTTACCGGCTTATTCAAGCTTCACATTGACATAAAGCGATATAATAATAAAATAACGATAATAATAATAAAACTTACCAAAGCATTAAGATTTTGAAAGTTTTCTACTTGCCGTCGTAAGGTTGCTAACTCTCCGTCAAAAGACATTTTGCATCAAAATCATAAAAAATTTATTAATCAGTTATTAATATCAGTTATGATTTGTCACATGCAAAAAATTAAGCATATCAGTCAAATGATATCCCGCATGCTAATAGCTAAATTTCATACATAGAATGCATCCCGATCTTTATTTAGTGAAAAAAAAAAAAATCCTGCAAATGGTACAATAGTAAAAAAAAATCTTTGTGCATTCGAGCACCAAAAAGTTCTTATAGAGTTTATGTGACAGTTAAACTCTAAAAAATAGATAACGATAGACTTTAACGTTAAAATTTATGGAATTTTAGGTGTGACGATCAAATATTTACTCCTTGATCTACGTGTGACTGATAATCTTATTTGCTCATTCAGAAATGACAATGAAGATTGGCAAATATGCACCAATCAAATCCTTTTGATTAATTAAAATGCGTAATGTTTTAAAGTGCTAAACCTCACGATAAAGTTAGGATAGAATTATAATATGGCACAACCTATACAAAAATTTTGTAAGGAATTTTTTTTATTAGATCACGAAATGTGGTTTCATAGTCAAAATGTCGAGTTATCAACGGTTTTTTATTAAATAATGTGATTTTCACGTTACACCCGATCTAGTGATTTGATTGGTGATTATCATTTGAAGGAATTTGATTGGTGCATCTGTGGCGATCCTCCATGTAAGGGTAAGTAGCTTATTTCACACATACACCCACGTTTTTTCAAAAAATATGTTAATGTGCAACTAGCAACTCGAAGTCACGACGTTTTTTGATAGATTTGATCTTTACGGCTTAGAAAGTAGTTATATCTTTCTTGTCTCATGAGAACCACAACCAGAATTTACAAATTCATAAGCATTGGTATCTAATTTTGATCCTTACCTGCTGATTAAAATTCAAACTTGACAATCATGTTTGTCTTTACTGGTATCTTATATTATTGTGACTCAACTGACAAATAGTTTCTATGAGAAGGTCTAGTTTAAAGATAGGTAGTTACTTCCTTAATAATAAAATATCCCGATCCATTGGATATTAGCAGGAATCTCTGTTCTTGGTAGATATTAGAATTGTAATATTACTAAGAAATACAATTTCGTATACACAATATTTTGTATATGTAATAGAGATATGCCTCGCACGAGGTAAAACTAGCATACATTTCACAATAGATTTTGGTGATAGCTCTAATCGTTTTTATCTTTGATAAATCACTAATCACTAAGATTTTCTTAAAAATTTACTTCGCGCAAGTTATGGAGGTCATATGATGGAATTTGCACGATGATATCATCATCTTTTGTGGGGTACATATGCTAGTGATCTCTGACCGATAATAAGAAAAACGGCTAATCGAATTTGTCAAGACTATGTATATAACCCAAACTATTTGGGCGAACCAAACCATGTGATATGATACTAATTATCACATGTAGGATGTTAATCGGTCCCACGGTAATTATCAGTAGGGTTTGGCATTTTAACTACTATATATTTGTCCAATAAATAAGGTTATAGGAAAGTTAATTTTCTATGACATTGTCTAACAGAGTTAGATGAGACCGATTAGGGACCGAACACTGCGGAGCCGATCGGTTCTTAATCGGTCCCATCAAATGACTCAAAAACCAATGCAGAAATTGATAAGCTTCTATTAGGAACTGTTATAGAAAAAATAATTCTTCTATAACTTCACTTATTGGACAAATAGTAGCTAAAAATACCAGATCTTGCTGTTAATTACTGCGGGAACGATTAACATCCTTAATCACATGGGTTGGATGTCCCAAAAGTCGTGTCACATTACTAGTTAGAGTGTTCCGCAAACGGGTACCCGAATTGGAGCCGCAGAGGATTTTTAACATTCTGCTGTCAAGCAATTGGGTAATAATAGAATGTGATTCAATAATTGTCCAATTGCTTGGCAAAAAAATCCTTTGCGGTTCCAATTCGGGTACCCGTTTGCGGAACACTACTAGACCCGAATAATACATATAGATGTTACATTGTTATTTAGGTTACAAAAATGCTATATTTTAGAATAGGCTATTTGTATATTTGAAAGTATTACGTATTAAAAGCGGGTATTATAGATAAAATTTTGGTAATATTAAACCTTTACAGTGTTGTCCATAGAAAATTTTTGTTCGCAAATAGAACGATAGCACATTTTTAGCTACATATAAATTTTTTTTTAAATAATTTATTAAATATATATTAAAATGCTAATATATTTCAATAATTTAATAGAGAATAGAATACGTAGAATGAATAGAATTTACAAACAAAAGTAAAAATGTGATTTATTAATTCTAAAGTGGATAAAATTTACAAAAATTTTATATTAAAGCCAAAGTAAATGCAGTATATATTATCGAGGCCATGGTACGACTAAACTAGACTAGACTGTCATTTCTAATACGTATTTCAATGAAAATTTCAATTTTAATAATGAACGAACCTAGAATGCGTGGCAAAATTTTTGATAATTTCTAAAAGATTCCGAATCAAAATCGACTAATCGATTAAGCCAATAAATTTTATTGGCTTAGTTATGGCCGAAAAAATAACAGTTGGCAAGATTACTATTTAATGTTTTTATACATAACATGCTTGTAGCATTTCTTTGAAGTAGTTGATACAGTCAACCATCATTAATATCAATATCATTAAAAAAAATATGCTTATACTATATAAAAGCTATCTCAATCTATACCAACATAATTGCCTAATTCTAACGGGTCGAAATTAACGAGGGTTGACAATTTTTATATATTGAATTTTTTAAATTTACAATAACAGATAATAATAATGATAATAATAATAATACTAACTTTTTTATTGGAGAATTATTTGACTTCTGTTAGCAAAACCAAATACTGTATTTAGTTTTGGCTACTAAACTTTCTCTGGTCACTATGTTATGGCATATCTTTTTGTCATATTTTAATATATAATCAAATTATATCAAGTTGAAATATGTAAAAGAAAATATGATATTACTTTAAATGTAAATATAAAAAAATCCAACAAATTAGAGTGTAGCTTTATACAACGCACTTTCGTTATATTAAACTCTTGATACAGTGAAGTCAAGCTCAAGTATATGTAAAATTCTCTTGATATAGTGAATTTACTCATAAAACTCTTGATACAGTAATTTTTTAAAAAATTTTATTAATGGAACGGATCACTTCACTATAAGGTTGTTTAATCGAAATAATTTAACAATCGCTAACATTTTAAATGTAATGGTCTTGATTAGAGTTCTGCATATCCCATGCCAGGCACATTAGATACCATGCCGAGCACTAATGCCTATGGCATAGCCATTCCTAAGAAAGTGCCCGGCACTTTAGGTCTGGTACGTGTCTAGTACTTTTAAGCCAAAAACGAAATCAGGCACAAAGTATCTATAGGCACAAAAATGCCAGGCATTTTTAAGCCAAACAAAATAATGTCTGTGCCCATGCCTGTGCCTTAAAATTTTTTGTTAGGCACGGGAACATGCCGGGCTGCAGATCCTTAGCCTTGATGCGCATGCGCAAGAGTTTTGTTATATGATAAACTTACTCTATAAAGAATGAAAATCTTTTCAAAAAAAAATAATGCATCTTTAAAAATAATAAAATGTAAAAATTTTTTTTGTCTCCAATGTATAGTGCCCTTATTTTGCACAAGTAAAATGAAATTTAATACGTAGAGATTACCTAATTTCTGCCAAATTTAACCTGCTATTTAATTAAATAATAAGTTCTATTTAATTAAATAATAAGTTTCTATTTAATTAATAGTAATTTACTATTTAATTAATAGTAGGTTAGTATTTATTAAATAGTTTATAATCAGATAACCTTATCGACCTCCTTTGGCGCCAAAATCCGTAAGCAAAGGAAAGCAATAGGATGCCAATAGGGTTAATTTAGAAACAATTGAGAATATCATTTTACCTGTGTTGTATTTGGTTCAAAGGCGATCTCGAACTCAAGTCAGGAGTTAAATATATATCTTAGCTACTTTACAGACACTCTTCACAAATGGTACAGATAAATGATATTCAATAGAGATTACCCCCATTGTTGTCAAATTTAACCATATTGGTATTCTATTGTTTATACAAAGGTCAATCAGGAATCAATCAGGAATCAATAAAGTTATCCGATTATTGCCTATTGATTTTATATTTAATATTGAGGTTGTATTTAGAATAATTCTAATTGATTTCTAATTGATCTCTTTGCCACCAAAATGTTGGCCAATTGGTTAAATTTGTAATATTCTGGTAACCCTATTGAATTCCTTATTGAATGTCATTTTGCCTGTGGGAAAGCTGTTATTTAGATTTAATTGACTGATTTATGTGTATTTAAGCATGGCCATCGGCCATGCAAGTCAGCCAAAAGAATGAGACTCTACCATGAGTCTAGATACTTTTGCAGTAATGTGAGCATTATGGCATATTCGAATAAGCTTTTTTGACTTTATGTCATATTATCGGCTAGGGTTCGTGGTTATAGATCTTAAGACCGGTTTAAACACTGGTTTTTGCCTTTTCTCTCTTTTCTGTACACGTGTTTTGTTTTGACGTCGGGCTGATCCGGGACAATCAAAATTTACGCATCCCGATTGGTCATTTCTCATGCACACGTCACGTTACTGCACAAGTGATGGGATCTTATTAACGAACTTTACTCTTATTTTATTTTATCTCATTTTTAAATTCTCTAATGATTTGGCTATTTGACACGACCAATTTGACCGATGACCAAACGTTTTAATATTAATCAAATTGATAAAGTGATATAATTACACAAACTAAGTTGACCAATCGGACCAATTTGACCGATATTAACCAAATCGGTAAAGTGGTATAAATCTACATCTACATGTGATTATCAGCCAATCAAATCAATCAAATCATACAATTCATTTTATATAATATTATAGTACTAAAAACGAAACCTTCAAGAAAAACTTTATATAAATCGATAAATATGTATGATTTATTGGTTTATATACGTATAAAAGATAGATAGATGCATATAGAGTAGAGTCAAAGTGGTAAAACAAAGCTCGAATCACTAACTCTACTATTTATAAACTCAGGTTGATATCTATAAGTTAATTAACCCATACACTTTAACAAAGTCAACTTAAGAATATCTTAAATATAAAGCATAGACCTCTTACACGAACAAGCTTGTTTTGCTTCAAACACCTCAAGCTTTGAAAAAAAAGACAACTGCTTTGATAATAACTACTTTTGTTTTTGTGCATTTTAAAATTTAGACGTGGCTTTTTTTCTTTACCTCTTGCGGAAAGTCGTGTCTAAGCCAACCCCTCTTAAATTAGAGATTATTTTTAAAGTTAGCTTTCTAGTACCTCTTCGAAGCTAAAGATAAGAATGGTTACTTGTGTAATGTTACGTTCTCAAAAAGTACTCTAAAAGTACTCTAAAATATATAAATAAGTTACCCGGGCAATTGATTTTACATTAGCCAATCAGACTAAGTTGACCAATTTGATCATGGTCAAATGGGTCTGGTTGACCTGATTGGTCAGCATGGTTCGTGTAACTAAACCACATGATCAATTTAACTAGACCAATCAGACCAATTTGACCATAGACAAATTGGTCTGACTGGTCTGATTGGTCAACCTAGTTTGTGTAACTGAACCACTTGATCAATTTGACCAGGCAAATTTTTGGTTGACCACTAAATTTCACAACACTATGAAAATCCTTATGTATGCAGGCGAAAGTTTGTATTCAGGCTTAGTCAAAGCAATTTAATGGCTCCTGATTCTTTAAATGTAATGACTTCAAATAAAATAAAAATATTCAGCTTAATCAAATGTGAGTGTAACTGGACTTAATAATTTACTATGACTACACTGTTTTTATATTTTATATACGTATTCAGTACAAAAAGATTTAATCGCATGATGAACTCGCTCTATAATATAGAGTTCCAATTCGGATATCGGATATCCATTTACTATTGATATCTAGATAATCCGACAAATATTCGGATAATTATTCAGATATCAATAGTAAATAGATCGGATATATGGATAAAAAGCTAATGGATTGGAACTCTACTATAACCAATAAAAATCTCTAGAACGTGTAATTCAGATAGTGAAAGACGATTGCATATATGTCTTTATGTCTTTGATTTTGTTTATACAATAACTATTAAACGTCTTTCATTAGCATTATTGTAGTTAGGTAACTTGTATCTGATTGATTGGTTCAATTTCCAAATGATTAATTCGAATCACATGAGTAGCATTAACAGTGATCCATATCATACGGGTGATTCTTATACAAGATTCAATGATACGTATAGTTTGCCGAACATGGAAAAGCAAATACATATGCCGAATTCTCACTATACGTATAGAAAAAAAATCCGCAGGGGTAACTAGTTCGGTATAAGAGAATTGATCATACGTACCAGCTTTTTTCTTTTTTAGTTTGTATCACAAATAATTATTTCGCGCTTGTGATTGTTGTTATGATTCCACAAAAGTTAAAAAGGACACACATGCCTTGCCAATAACAAATTCTTTTTCGCAAACTCTGTAAATAGTGGTGTATTCTCGATTACTTTATAACGAGTGCAGTTCCTATTATACAAACATTAAAGAAAAAAAAATGAGTCAAGTTTCAGACTCGAAAATCTTTGAACTAGCTCTTCTTGATTCTTTTAAAAAAGAAGGATATATATCCTTCCCATCTGCGCCGCCACCACCACCATCACCATCATCACCACCATCACCATCATCACCATCTTCTTCGTCGTCATCACTATCATCTCAAACTTTTATAGAAGAAGCAAAAAGATTAGTTGTCAACAATCAAAAGATTTTAACTATCTCTGCATTAACTATTGGTGGAGTTGTACTTGCACCAATAGTGTTTGTTGGTTTGGTACAGGTAATCGGATTCGGTTCAGGTGGTATCGTAGCTGGATCATTTGCCGCATGGATGATGTCATTGCAAGGTGGTGCCACTGCTGCAGGTAGTCTTGTAGCTATTCTACAATCGATTGGTGCGGCAGGAATCAGCCTAGGTGCAACTGTTGCAACAAGCGCAGGTGGTGGTACATTTATAGGAATTTTGTCGACATTGATTATGAAAATATTGAATGCAAATCCTGAGGGACGTGCTCAATTAAATGAATTCGTTAGGATTAGTGATGACAAAGGTAATGATGATGATAAAGATAATGATGGTAAAAGTGGTTATGATGATGATAAAAATGACGAAAAACTTTTATCTATGGTGGTTTTTGAAATATGCGAAAATCTCCTTATTAATAAGGAAGCATTCGACCAGTTTCTCAAAATATTCACATCAATCCAGAAAGTGATTGAGACAAAAAAATTCAAATTCCTTATAGATGAAAATGCGGATAACGAAAACGTTTATAAAAGTTTTGAAACTTTGTATAATCATTTGGTAAAAAGCTATGGAAAAGAGTATGTTGAAAAAGTGCGGCTAAATACTATTACGTTGTATTTGGGGATGGATCTAGTCCGTGCTAGTCTCTGACAAAATCGGTTTTCTGGTCCAAATTCAAAAACGATTCAATCATTTTATTAGCAGGAATACTTAAATCATATGATATCAATAATTGAAACAAGCAATTATGTAACGTTTTTTTAACGTTAACGTTGACGTTGACGTTAAAAAATTAATTAGTAATTTTTAATTATATATTTATGAAAACCAGCTTGGACTGATCTCAAGACCATTTCTAGTTGGATTTGTAATACTTTCTTAGTATTAAAGCAATATTTGAGCTATGCTTGTTTTTTTATCTTTAGTAAGTTCATTAGCTTATTATTATTTTACTATTATACAGATTTTATTGCATTTTATTACCATATTATTCATGTTATTCATATTTCGTATTATATAGTGAAATTTAATTTGTAATTCATTCAATAAGATACGAATTCTAGGTTAAGTAAATATTAAAGACATATACGGTCAAGAACCGAATAATACATAATGATCAAATTCAAAAACTCAATGGTTTGCTTACAATTTGCAACGTTGCCGATTTTTTTTCCTCCAGTGAGGTCTCAGAACATTTCAGAGCTTTCCAGTGAAAATTTCTAATAGATGTTTCAATCATATTCCATTGACAAAACTGAAAGTTTATATTCACCTAATTTCTTAATTGTCTTTTGATAGAATAGGATTGGGGCAAGGTTATTTCGTGATAATGTAATTACCACCAAGTAATTCGAGTTATTTTGATGGCCTAATAATTGGTAAGAATTCTACGCGTCAATACAGGTAATGCAGTATTTTTTAAAATAGCATTCACTTGAATACCATAAGCAGGTTTAATATGCATTTGGTTCAATATTTGTCGCCTTTATTTCGAAATAACACATGAACGTCTTGATGTAACGCAGTTAATAAATAACGCGTTATTCGCGACGATAAGGATAAGGTAGTCTAGCTATCTTAAATCTTTTAAATAATGCTTACAAATTTCTATTTAAGTGGTAGATCGCGGTTGAAGGGTACAAATTTAATAGTGAAAATCGTAAAGAATAACTATTGCTTTTATATAATGTTGGAATGCTGAAAGTTTTTGACAAATGTAAAATCATAGTTATGAAGGAGAAAATGTCAATAACTCGCGATCTACCAACCAATTTTAATAATTCTACCCTTACTAGAACTGACTGGAATAACTTGCTCTATAAAATTTTGTTAGGACTCAAGGAGTTTACTTGGCACAAAAAAACTTCAACCCTATAGTAGCTTCCGACAATTTCTACTATTAAATTTACTATTTTTATACCCTTTAACTGCGATTTACTTAATTATTTAAATCAGTACATATATTGAATATTTCTGATTGACCAATTTATTTCGAAGATACCACCTTTATTGTAAGGGTAAAGATCTATGAATTTTTAGTTTATGATCTTTATTATGAGTTAATAGAAATCAAGCAAATTTTTTTAATAAAACTTTTTAAAACCTTTGAATTAAAATTAATTTAATCAAATCTGGACAAGTTTTTTTTCAGTTGAAGTTTTATTAAAAAAAAATTCTATTGACTCACCCCGATTATTGTGTTGACATATCGATATGTGAAATCCAGTTCATTTTATGTACGGATACATTGCTACGTTTACCAAGTTTTATCATTCTAAAAACGCGTATGATATTTTGTAGCTCGTTTTGCAAGAAAAGGACCACAAATGTGCAACCCACCAAAATGAGTAGTCTTTGAGATGATCGATGAGTATGTCCATCCTTTCCTTTTGAATTTGTGTTTTTTTTCATTGTCCAATAGCTGTAAATAATACGTACATGTACCTATTTCCTTAAGAATTTGGATTATCGAAACCTCGTTAAATATTCAAATCACATGAAAAAATGTAACGAACAGGCCAGCACAGATCCATCGCAGCTCCTGATCAGGGATCTGTGGATTTCGCGGTTTACGGGTTTCAACATACATTTAAAGAGTTTGTATGTACATACTCCTTAAGGTCGCAGCAAATTACAAAATCTACAAGCCTTGCTTCTGATGCAAAAAAGCCTTATACACATAGTCATTCCAAATTGATCCATTTAAGAAAATTCGCAAGATGAGCAAATGTACGTACATGACTTTTTTTATTGATATTTATACAATATCGCAACTTATATATGCATTCTATACATTCTGATGATTATACATAGCGTCAAGTTTGGTAATTACGCGAAGCTTTTATAATACGCCATTTAAAACATTCGTTTGATTTTTTTTTCAGAAGAAATTTGACCAAATGTAATGCATATGCATGTATTATCTCAAGATTTTTTGCTCTTGAAAATGTTTGATAATGCGCATTTAAATGATAGCATCGAACTATGTTCAATAAATTAATATGGTAAATCATTAGTCTGGTTAATCCTTCGACTACATAGTATCGGAAAAATGGTAAAACCTTCAGTTTGAATTCTTTACGTATACGACGCGAATATCCAATTCGTTTCTTGCGTCTCACAACTCGTACAAATGAGAGATCAAGTAAACTGATCAATGTTTACTTTAGGTTCTATTTTATAAAGTAGCACGAATTTATCCAACCCATTATTCTTTCTGATAGACTATGCCTTTATATTATATCGAGAGAATAACAGGTACTTTTCAATATAAAAGTCCGCTAAATCTTGCATTCCATTGATGATTTTGTTTTGAAATAATGAGAAAGGCGCAACTTTGCATCTGTAATTTTATAATTAATTCTGCAATACATATTATTCGTGATGGCTAATTAAGAATAATAAATTCGGCTTATCAAAATTTATATGTGGTAACCGCACACTAAATTTCTTCATTACATGTGAAATTGATTTTACGTACATTAATTTTTGTATATTGATGAAATATGCAAGTTTACTACAAGGTATTCATTTAGAGTTCCCAGTCAGGTAACATAAATCTAGGCAGGTACATACATATGTATGTCAGTAGCTGCTTTTTTTACCCTTATTCACTTATTTATTCGTACCGGTACGTAAATATGTGCGTATGTGTATGTATGTACATTATCATATTTTACTGTAAAAATCAACATTACGTGATCAAAGTTATGAGATTGACATAAGATATAATTGGTTAAATTTAAATCTATACTTATAAATAAATATCATATCAAAAGAATTGGATTTTCTGACACTCGATCTGCTCTTTTCAAAAAAAAAAAAATGAAGTCAGCATTTTTGCAAGAACTTTCAAATGATTTATTTGAATTACTAAACAAAGCAGAAGATTATAACGTAATTGTCCAAGCTGGTGATCCAACAAACTATAAAGAATTTAAGGCTCATTCTGTATTGCTTCGTGCTCGTTCCGGATATTTTAGATCAGCTTTATCAAATGATTGGCCAAGAAAATCTGGCGATCTTATAGTATTCAAGAAACCAAATATTCCTTCTGGAATCTTTGAAATAATATTAAAGTATGTATTATCGTTATTATGAATAAAACAACTAATCTACATGCTTATATGTATGATTGCACGTAACATGCATACGTTTATCACTGATTCTGATCTGACTAAAGATAACCATCAAATTTTTATAGGTATATATATAGTGGAATTATAGAATTGGATCAACTCGATGGTGCTGATTTATTACGATTAATGCTAGCTAGTGATGAATTACAACTTCCAATTTTAATCACTCATGCTCAGGATTATTTAATCAAAACTCAAGCTGAGTGGATAAATCAAACTTTAGTACCAATTCTTCATATAGTATGTCATCATGGTACATTTGGAAAACTTCGTGATTATACTTTAAAAACTGTTTGTGCTTCTCCACAAATTTTATTCGAGTCTAAAGATTTTTTAAATCTTGAAGAATCCGTATTACTTTATTTATTAAAAAGAGATGATTTAAATTGGGATGAAATTAAAATTTGGAATCATGTAATTAAATGGGGTATTGCTAATACACCACAAACAAAATTACATAATGACGCAATTAATTGGTCTGATAAAGATTTTGAAGATTTGGAATTTACTTTACATAGATGTATTCCTTTAATTAGATTTGCTCATGTTACTTCTAGTGATTTCTTTCACAAAATTCGTAAACCATTTAGAAAATTACTTCCTCCTTTAATTGAAGAACAAATTCTTCAATTTTATTTGGATCCTGAAAGTAGATTTCATAATGTATTTTTACCTAGGAATATTTCTTCCGAACTAATCGATTCTGTCCTTATTGATGGTCGCCATGCTACATTAATATCAAATTGGATCGATAGAAAGGATACAAAATTAAACCTTAAAAGAAAAAATCCTTATAAATTTAACCTTTTGGTTAGAGCTAGTAAAGATGGTTTTGGTGCTGATGTTTTTCACAATCGGTGTGATTCTGTTGCGCGTACTTTGGTATTGGCCAAGGTTAAAGGAACTAACCAAATTGTTGGTGGATATAATCCAATTAAATGGAACTTTTCAGAAAATTCTCATGGTGCAACTGTTAGTCCTCATAAATCGTTTAAAAAGTTTGGCTCAACTTTGGATTCGTTTATATTTTCATTTAACGACGCTCATAATCCGACAATGGCAACTTTATCAAGAATACATGATTCATTGGATGAAGAAGCTATTTATTTTTCGCATAGTTATGGCCCATGTTTCGGTCCAAACGATTTACATATGGTAGATCAAAGTTGGAATTGTAGAAAGACTAGTTACAATTATGAAATATTGGTGGATAAATCAAATTTTATTGCTGATGATTATGAGGTATTTCAGGTTGTAGAAAACGATGGATTAAAAGAGAAAAAAACGGAGGTTCTAGAGGAACGCCTTATGTTTATTCATAGTTTTGATGGGTATATTAGATGATTTTATTGTTTTAGTATTGTAAAAAGACTTTAACAGAATATTAAATAAAATTTCTGCAGAAATACAAATACAAAAATATTTCTGAATGATCTATTATCACAACCGAATGTAAAAGTATGTAGCTTATATTATAATATTGGTTCAAGGGGTTATATTGAACACTTGGTATGGAAATCGGATGAAATGTTAGGGATCATAATTGTTTGACACATAAGTATCGAATTATTCAAATGTTAAAACTCAGATATTCTGAAAGCGCATAAAATACCTCCTTGTTTATGTTATTACTCTAGATAAATTCATAAAAGCATATGATAACAAATACATGAAAGCATGTAATAACAAAATACAAGTTTATATATATATTTTTTTAAAAAAAAATTTTATTTTAGACATTTAATCGTAACATTAATAATGCAATAACCTAAAATTAATGTGTTTGATATTTTCTTTAAATTAGAGCCACAAAGAAGTTCGGCTCGTATAACCTAAGCAAAACGAACCAGTAGTTTATATCTCTAACTATTCATCTTTAGATTTTTTTGATGGTTTTTCAGTTTCAGCTTCGGCTTTGCGTTTTAACCCAAATGTTACCTTAAAATAATTTATACAATTTCAGTATCACGTTCAAACTACGTAAAATATATGAAACATTAGAAAGCTCTTACCTTTTCTCTCTCTGGCGCATTCATACTTTGACCCGTTAACCCACCATTAACCGTAATGATATTAGGACCATTGATTGATGAAGCGCTAGAAAGTGATTTAGAAGTTCTTGTATCGTTGTTTGGTACCATGCTATGTGGAACAACACTAGAAAGCAATTTAAAATATTTCGACATTAGTTAAAGAATCAAATATCAACATGTATATTTTATATAAATACTTACGCTCTGTTGCCGACAGACAAAACAACATGTGCACTTCCGCTAGCCTTTTGTCTCTCTTGCAAAGCAGTTGCCATGTTCAATGGTGTATCAACGCTGCTCATCGCTTTTAACTTACGTTCTTCTTCAAGTTTCTTGAGACGTTTCTCTGTTTTAGATTTCCCGGATGATTTGCCATGGAATTTATGTGATAACTGACGGAACGCCTATAAAAAATAGTAATAAATAGATAAATTACTCTGTATTACATTGAAGTTCAAAATAACGGAAATTTGCACGTTAATTCGAGATAAATGCCCAATTTATATTGAGCCTGATCACTACTATCTATAACTATACATGAGTGCCCAAATTTCCTCTCTTAATAAAATACGGTAAATTGTATAGTTCATATAAAAATGCAGAAATGTAGGAAATATCTTCCGACATTATGAGGTTTATATTATTTTAAGACACCATAAGTATCATTTTAAAATTAAATACACTATTTAATTTCGAAATAACGATCATTCCTGTTATTTCGATATTTTTAAGTAAAAATAAATAATTACTAACCTCCTTAGGTGTTAACTGATTGCCAAATTCATCAACATACTCTAAATTGATATCTGGCTTGTAATCTTTAAATCTCGATTCCATTTCTCTAAGGTGCTCACGATCACGATAACTACTATCACTATCTCGTCCACCACCTCCTCCACGGTAGCCTTTTTCTTTAGCTCTTTGTTTTTCGCGTTCCCTTTCGGTTTGCCTTTCAAGATCCCTTCTGCGTTGTTCAGCAAGCCATTTTTGTCTCTCTTTTTGAATACGCTCTTTTTCGACTTGCTCTTCAGATGGTTTAATTGAGAACCCTGTAGAAATACGTTTAATAATTATAAAATGTAAGATTTATTAAAAATGATTTCACCTTTATTTGCGAATTTGGTGAAATTAATTTCACTAGAATATGATTCATATGAAATAAATAAGCATATAATGTACCTTTTTGTTGTAATAGAGCTAATGTTGCTGCCATTCCATTACTAACCAATGGTTCTTCTTCGACTATACCAACCTTGAGAGATAAAAATTATATTTATATCACTTCGTAACAAAATCCTTATATTATGCAAGTTGAAAAATGGAAATATTACATACTAGTTTTGGTTCCTCATTAACGCTGGTCATATCCTGGTCATCAGTTGCAACAGTTGCCTTCCAGCCACCTTCTTCTTCTTCGTCAGCAACTTCTTCCATCTCAACATCGTTAGTCTCTACTTCTTCCGGCTTTTCATCTTCGAGTTGATCATCGAGTCGATTATCAGGTGTTAGACTATCAATTTCTGCAAGTTTTGATACTGTTGAAGCTATTGCTAGTGATCGAACGAATTCAGATGTATCTGATATCACCAATCCATTATCAGGCCCATCATCGTCTTCTTCCTGCGTTTCTCGTTCTTGAGTCACTGTATATGTAGATAATGACATGTTTACATTTGTTATAAACAAATAAAAAACCGGCTAAAATATTTAAAGAGATGCATACAAGTTCTTGCAATTTCTTCGACCGAAGCTTTTGCTACTTTTTTTGCAGCCATTTTTCTCGCTCTAGCTAGAGCTTGTTGGAGGTCATCGTCATCAACAAAACTCACATCATCCAGATTTTCTCGTCTTCTACTTTGTGTGGTTGTAATAGATGACGTTGATTCTACTTCCATTGAATCGGGATCATTTGCTTTGCTTTCTTCTACCAATGAATCATCAGTTGTAGTCTTCTGTCTAACTTTTTTCTTCTTTTTGACCTAGTATGCGTGAACCTGTTGGTTAATTTGGTTAATAAAAAATGTGGCGCTTATTACAATAAACAATTACAACTATATACATACTTTAGGCTTCTTGAAGGTGACCTCTGCTTCTTCTTTAGTGTAATAATCTTGTATCTCTTTCATTTCTACATGTAAAATAAATTCAATATTCAATATTTCACATAGATTTGTAAACTTAATATATCAACAAAAATTTAACCCAAAATATTAAAACGTACTATCAAAAGTCAAAGAAATAGCAGTTGACCTTAATTTTTCTGACACTTGGTTTCGTATATCATCTTCACCCAATTTAACCGTGCCATCATTGTCTAGCGTAAATCCCTAAAATATATATAATAAACGCTTGAGAAATTGTTCAAATTGTTGAAATCTATCAATTGCAAAAGAAGTAAAAGCATAAATACAGGTCGTTTATTTTTCTCTATTTCTTCATCGTAATGTGCTAAAATGCTCTTTTTAGTTACGCCACCCCCAAAATTAAATTCTTCATCGTCATAGCCAGTATAAACTGGTTTCTTTTTTTTGTTTTCTAAGTTCTTTTTGAGCCTTTGCTGTTCCTCTAACTGTATTGAAATCAATTGATCTCCTTCCTCTGTTGAGTTTTTTTTTTGTTTTTTATAATTTAGTTTTGCCCTTTCGATTTACAAAAAAAAAAAAAGAACACATATTAAACAGTACCTTCATTTTCAAGTATAGATGAATCCTTTAAAACTAAAATACGTTCTTGTCCATCTTGAAACTCTGATACGTCGTGAACAACTTGCATTTTAAACGAATGTCCTTGGTTTCGTGCTCATAATACTGTAATAGGAGTTTGTTTTTTTATTAGGTGATATACAGGAATTCGAATTCTTATTGGCCAAAACCTATGACGCTAATGTTCTAGAATCATCGTGGGTCCAGATCGTCGACAAAAGAAATAAAAATTATTACGGTATATATGTTGTGCCTCAGACTAACGCTTAATTAGATTAGGGTTAGGGTAAAAGTTTGGGAGGATTGGGGTATAATTTAGGCCAATCATGTCGATCAGTTAATGCTGGCCAAAAAATCGATATCTGAGGCAAGTGTTAGTCCGAGGCACAATATATATATATCTTTTTGTAACATCTTTGTTTTATTAAATGTATTTTAATGGCCACGTACATGGTGCCAAAATATTCTTTTTCAGTGCTCATTCAACAAAGTATGAATCAAAATTTTAAATGAAATGGACATCAAAATAATTCCTTTGAAAGCTTTTTGAACCTCAAGTAATAGTTACCAGAAAAATGTATTCTGGTGAAAAAGCAAGAAAGTCTTGTCTGCATAAAAAATTGCACATGAAACTACCTTTCGTATTCCAATAAAAAAGATCCTTCTTATAACTTTTATGTAGTATTTATACATTAACCCTATTGTATTATCTCGAAGTAAATTTATTTCGAGTCGCACAACTTAAAAGAGAGCTAATTGATTTAGTCAAATTATTGTGCGTGATGATACTTATAAATCGCCAGCATTTAGCCTACCCTAACCCTAAGGGTTACTTATAATAATTAAGTCTATATAAACAGCAAAATTAGTACAATTTTCGTAAATCTGTGCTGCTGTACAGTACTATACTGAAAACTTTTAAAAGAATCGTTTTGCCATCTAGTTTTCTGTTATAGGAAAGGTAAAAATCTCAGGTGTTCTGATTTTGCTACTGTCTCTAGAGAGTAGTGGTTTGGCTTTAGAGTAGTCGTAAAAGATGCTTCTGAAAGAGAATTTCTCTTTAAGTAGTTCAATAACCTGTGTAAAGTTAGTATTAAAGTCTTGTAAAACATGTAGAAAGTAAATTATGTATTTGCTATCTAGGTTCTAATATGCTAGTAAAAAAAGTTTTTTAGATGATAATAGGTTGAAATTTAAAATAGCTTGAAAATATTGTAGTAATCCAAATTATTAGTTGAAAAACCATCTAGTTGACAACTTTTCAACTAATCGATTCGAAAAATTTTGAAACAACTAGTTGATTAAATTATTAACTAGTTAAATTTCAAGATATTTTATCTGTTTGTGTTGATTTCTTTAGTTTTTGATTGATCAATTAACAAATTTAGTTAGTTGTAATTATAGTTAGCAACCAATTGATTGGAAAAATTTTTACCAACTCAGAACACTACCTTCTTGATACAATATAACCAAGTAACAAGTTCATCTAGTATAGGAATTGACTATTGCAATTATATATACAGTCAGACCTTCCTAAATAGAACCGGCTCTAGAGTGTGTATTTAGAGAGGGTTGCAATTAAAGAACACTAATAAAATCACAATGTGACTATTATTACAGCATTAAAAGCCTAGAAATAATGCATTTTGATTGGCTAATAATCATGAGTTTTATAAGTGGGCTAGACAATTAGTGTGCACTTACAGAATAAAGAATGTGCATTTATCTATAAGTCCCATCATGGGTCCGGACTTATATATATCATGCATTTAAAGAGTAATACATTTAAGAAGGGTGCATTTAGGAGGGTCAAACTGTATAGTGAAGATGTAATAGTTCACTTTATTACACAGTAGTAAACAAATAGTTCAAAATAGTAACAGTATATAGATTAAATAGTAAATCACAGTTAAAAAGCATAATTTCATAGTAAAAATTGATAAAAATTTATTATTACTTTCATATAATATATATATTTTTTTTTTTGGTATTAAGGTGACCTCTTTGGTCTTTTGACTTTTATTAATCACTTATCAGTATTGTGGTTCAATGAACCACTACAGGAAGCATACAATTGGCTACATGTGTAATTTTTCTATATTACCTATTTAAGGAGTCTGTCCGAAGGTTTCCTACCAATTGTCATACCTAATACCTCTGCTTGGATGTTTCACTTTAAACTCTCTGATCCTGTAATCTGTGTTAACATCACTGGTCATCTCAGATGTATCAGATCATCATCTCAACCTTAGGACTAATTTATCCTTGAGGTAAACTCCTCAGAGCCTTTTGTACCTATTTTTACAGCTAACCTAAATGTCACTATGGCAGAACCAACACTTGTAGTTAGGGTTAACCATTAAACCACTATGCTCTTGTAGAGTTTACTTAGATCTCAGCATTTACTTCACAGCATAACTCCAGTACTTTAGTATACCTCTGCCTTTTTTTCTGCTCTTTTACCAAACTCCTAATCTAGATAGTTTGTGTAGGACTATGACCAGTCCATCAGTATATCAGGTCAGCCTGATATTCTTTTCCGCCAGTTCATTCTAATGGCCTAGTTGGTGGTATTTCTAAGACTCCCAACCTGGAGGTTTTTGCCTGTCCAGCTACTAGGACTGGGTACTAGACCTGGGTATCTGTTTCACTGGGCTAGCCTTTACAATAGGGCCATTGAAGATCCAGTTACCTTTCTACTTGGGTCTTCTCAAATAGACTTCTTGTTATTCAATTTTAACAGATTTACATAGCACAAGGACTTATCTAGTGTTTGCATCACCTGATTTGTCAGTTTGCATTCCTTCGTATAATTTCAACATTACACAGATGCCCCATGACCTGCCAGTCATGCTGGTGCAACCACCATTACAGGTATTCTAATCCAATTATTAATAACAGTTGCCATAATATGAATATTACATAGGTGATTATCCAAATTTTCACTGTCGATGGGATTTGAACACCCAACCTACCACTTGAAAGATTGACAACCTGACCACTTCACTAGGTTACTACACCCTACACTTTCATATAATATTAGAATGTTAAAAGGTTTTAACAATATATAAAAGTTATATAGTTATAAAAAAATTTTTAATAATTTATAATTTATTAAAACTAAAAAAAAGCTTACTTTATAATCCTTATTAAAAATTCAAAAAAAAAATTTTTATATTAAAGTTTTTGTTTTCAAAAAGCAATTTATTTAAGTTAATATAAATACAAAAACTTCTAAGAAATTTTTTATATAGAAGATTACAACTAGTCATATATACATTTTTGATAACTAATTTAAGTAGTCTGCCTTAGTGTTTGGAACTAGTTTTATTTTTCTTATATTAAAACCAGTTTTAATCAGATTTAATATAAGAAAAATAAAACTGGTTCCAAACTCTAGTCTGTTTATATATAGGTTTTATACTAAATGTTATATTTGCATGTTATTTAAATTCTCTATATATGCAATTTAATTTGTATTACAGAACATTTTTAAAGCATAGCTTATCTAAAGTTTTTAATTTTTATTAGTATCTTTAGAACTATTTTATTCTTAACAAAAAACTCACTAAAGGTTTCTATGTTTTATATATAGCTAATTTAATATGCTATAATTAGATTAACACTTGCAATTATAGATATTTTATTAAACTATTACTATTATACTATTTTTACTCTTATAAAGTTTATTAAAACCTTAATATATATCTATCTTGCCAACATTTTTTTCTTATTCTAAATCTGAATTTTAAACTACTAATTCAAATAGTTTAATAAACTTGTTTTTAAGTTCTTAATATATAATTAAGAATTCTTTTTTTTATTAGATTCTAGCAGCCTGGTTGGTTATATACTTCTTTATATATATTTATTATTTAGTTTATCTAACTTTTTCTAAAAGTTTTATTAGTTTAGTAATATTATTAAAAGTTTATACTATTTCTTTATTCAGAATTTTTAAGTAAGTTTTTGTCTTTTTAGTTTTTTAGTATATATACCTGGTAGATTTATTATAAGTTTGCACTAAAGTTTTATACAATATTGGTTTTTAATATTTCTCTTTATATTATAAAAAATATATTGTATTCACTTTTTTAATTAAAAAAAGTAATAAAATAAACTTCAATTCTTACTTATAAACTAATTTACAAGAGGATGGCGATTCTAATGTAATGGTTGAGTTGTTATCTTCCAAGTGGCAGGTCTAAGGTTCAAATTCCATCTATGACAAAATTTGAAAATTATATCTGCATTACAGTAACTGTCTTCTGTTGATCAGTTGGCCTTATGTGGCTGTTAACCAAGTACATCAGGTTGGGTCCTTCTAACTTTAGAAGCTCAGGCATCTATGTGAAGTGTAATGTTACACATATATAGAGAAATGTTAACTGGTGTTGTATAAGACTTCAGTGCAAACCCATGATAAGACCACCAGGCATAGAAGACTAAGAAACCGAGATGACAGAAACCCACTTGAAAATTCCTGAATAAAGAAGTAGCATGAACTTTCGACAATACTATCAGACCAGTTGAAGCCTATGAAACACCTTTATAGGAACTGAAAATTAAAACTAAATAGCAAATATGTATAGAAGAACACATAACTAACCAGGCTGTCAGGTTTACCAGAGGAAAAAGATATAACAGTATATCATACCAGGCTATCTGAATTGGTAGTCTGGAATAAGACTAACAGTTCTGAGTTGTGGCTAGTAGAAGATAATAAAGAAGATGCTAGAAAGATAGGTACTGAGGTTCTAGTGAACTTTACAAGAGTAGAAATAATGTAATGTAGTAGTTAAGCAGGTAACCTCTATGACTGCAAGTGTTAGGTAACTATAGCATATTGCATAAAACTAGGTCTATATATATGGGATATAAAGGCTCTAGTAAGTTTCCTATCAAGAATAAAGTAGTCCTAAGAGTAATGATAAGCATCAGAAACTTAGATGAGCAGTGCCTTGAGATTTTTCTATGAAACAAGAAGAACTGCATATGCAGAGGGTTTAAATAGGCAAGACTTCTAGTTGACTTGCAGGTATGGCAACTAGTATAGAACTTATATAGTAA